TGTCACCCCAGTCTGGTGGAGGGGCATGATTATAGTTTACTGCAGCCTTCAACTTCTGGGCTCAAGGAATCCTCCTGCCTCAGCCTCCAGAGTAGCTGGGACTACAGGAGTCCACCAACACACACAGCTAGTTTTCTTAGCAGAGATATCTCACCTATTGCCCAGGCTGGTTGGTCTAGAACTCTTGGTCTCAAGCAATCTTTCTGCCTCAGCCTTCCAAAATTCCATGATTCCTGGCATGAGCTACCATGCTTAACTGAAATCCTGTCTTAAAATGGTTGATGATGTCCTACAGGTCTGACCCCCAATGTCCCTTCTACCTCATTGCCTATTACACTCCCACTTTCTCACTGTTCTCCACAATAGCTCCTTGCTATTTCTGAAACAAGACAGGCAGATTCCTGCCTCAGGGCTTCTGCTCTTGCTGTTTACCTCCATCTGGAACAGTCTTTCCCAGGTGATCACAGCTCACTCCTTAGCTTTCCTCAGGTCTTTATTTAAATATCTCCCTTCTCAGTGAGGCTTTTCCTGGCCATTCTATTTAAAGCTGCAACCCTTCTTCCCTGCTGTTACACTATAGCATTTATCACCCCAACTTTTTAATTATAAAAACGTTCTGGCTGTGCACAGTGGCTCATACCTGTAATCCCAGTACTTTGGGAGGCTGAAGTGGGAGGATTGCTTGAGATCAAGATTTGGAGGTTGCCATGATGATGTCACTACAATCTCACCCAGGTGATAGAGCAAGACCCTGTCTTTAAGGAAAGAAAAAGGCTCAGTGTCCATAGCACAGTGGTTATGGCGCCAGCCACACACATTGAAGTTGGTGAGTTTGAACTCAGCCTGGGCCAGCTAACACTGACTACTGCAACAAAAAATAGCCGGGCGTTGTGGCAGGCACCTGTAATCCCAGCTACTTGGAAGGCTGAGGCAAGAGAATTCCTTGAGCCCAAGAGTTTGAGGTTGCTGTGAGCTGTGATGCCACAGCACTCTACCCAGGGTGACATAGTGAGACTCTGTCTCATTAAAAAAAGAAAGAAAGGGTGGTGCCATATGCCAGAGGTGGCGGGTTCAAACCCAGCCCTGGCCAAAAGAAAGAAAGAAAAAAATTCAGATATAACAGTTAGTGGAAGGGTGAGTGCAATGGTGTTCTGAAAGTAAATTCTGATAGCATGAATACCTCACCCAAAGGTTTTAACAAAACATTGTTTTACTTCTCTATCTCATTTGTCGTCTTTTATTCCCCCACCAGACCATGAGCGCCACCAGGACAGAGATTTTTGTTTATTTTGTTCACTGCAGTTTCCTCAGCACCAAGAACTTTGCTTGGCACACAGTGGATCCTCTGATAGCTGAGAGAAGAAACAGACAAGACAGATCCTGGTTCGGCAACTCTGGGGATCATTTGCACTTGAGGAACCTCAGTTTCTTCATCTACAAAGTGGGGACAATAGTACCACTTTTCAGGGTTGTCATGAGGAGCTAAACAGTTAAGAGGTCTAAATTTGCTGTTAGCATGTTTGTTAAATTTCCATCTAACTTCCTAAAGGAGGGAAATGGATCTCGTTGACCCTCTGTGCCGGGCTCCATGAGGTTTATGGCTTGTAGGACCTAGCACCGTCCCTTAAGAGTTCTTTGACTTGCACTGCTAGTGTCTCCCATGCAAAACCCAGTGGAAGCGCAACAGAACACACTCCCTTGTGTCTGCTGCTCTATCCCTTTACATTTCTTGCTCGTTTAATGCAACCTAATAATCCCCTATAGTCTGTCTCTTGCTTTATCCACTCATTAAACCTTTTCCTCCAGAAATGCCTAGGAAAGAGATACTTAACTTCATGAAGATTACACCTCATTAATTTCTTCCTGAGGTCTTTGAGTGTTTCCAACAATTGACCCAGCCGCCCTTGGCCTTTTCTGTGTTTTACATTTGCTTAAGCGTCTGTTCCCAAACTTGCAGATCTTGCCTTGCAGATCCATCTTGAACACAAGGCTAGGTCTTTGCTAAAGAATGCGACTTTTCATGTTGCATTTTTCTTGGGAAAGATTGGTAACAGGTGGAATTTTTGGAAATTGGCCTTTTGCAAACATCACCCTAACTTAACTTATTTGCCATGTGGAGGGCAAGATATTTTCATTGAGAAGTCTGCATCTTCATTGTTAGGTTGGCCAAGCTAACCTCATCTTGAACTGAAAAGCCATTCTGTGAGACTCTGTTACAGGTGATCATAACTCAGATAAGAGAGACATGGCTCAAGTAGCTAAGGCGCCAGCCACATACACGCTAAGGTGGCGGGTTTGAATCTAGCCTGGCTCCGCCAAAACAACAATGATGGCTGCAACCAAAAAAAAAAAAAAAAAAGCCAGGCGTTGTGGTGAGCGCCTGTGGTCCCAGCTACTTGGGAGGCTGAGGCAGGAGACTTGCTTGAGCCCAGGAGTTGGAGGTTGCTGTGAGCTGTGATGCCACAGCACTCTACCCAGGGACACAGCGAGACGCTCTCTCAAAAAAAAAAAAAAAAAAAAAAGAAAAAGAGAGAGACATGACTCATGTTCTTGCACCAGCCCAATTACAGATCTGTGAGAAATATACTGACACTGTAAGCCTCTGACACCCTGATAAGAGCAGAGTCCTGATAATAAGATAACATCTTTGATGGCCTGAGAAGAATAACAGTTTGGTGGTCATTGATAGAAACCAGCTGCCCTCAGCCAACTATAAAAGACTTGGTTCTCTCCCTAAACCCTGCTAGCATCCTTTAGGCCTTAGCACACCTGCACCCAAGTGTCAACATAAACATTACTGCCTTTGTTACACTTTGGTCTTTTTTTTTTTTTTGAGACAGAGCCTCAAGCTGTCCCCTGGGTAGAGTGCCATGGTGTCACAGCTCACAGCAACCTCCAACTCCTGGGCTCAAGTGAGTCTCCTGCCTCTGCCTCCCAAGTAACTGGGACCACAGGCGCCAGCCACAACGCCCGGCTATTTTTTGGCTGCAGCTGTCATTGTTGTTTGGCGGGCCTGGGCTGGATTTGAACCCATCACCTTAGGTGTATGTGGCTGGTGCCTTAGCCACTTGAGCCACAGGCACCGAGCCTATAATTTGGTCTTGAAGTTTCTTCCTATCATTCATTTCTTTCTCTCAGGTGCAAGCTGAAACTCTTGAGCATATTTTAAATCTTGGTTTAAGGGAACAGTTCCTTCATTATCGACATTATTAACAACTGTCATTTATTGAAATCCCACTATGTCTAGGTGTGGGGACTATTTATCTCTGGTCACAACCACCCTGTGAGGTATCAATATGTCCACTTTTCTGACAAAGGTCTGAGGTTCACAGAAATCACTTACCTAAGTTTCTACTAAAAGTACTAAGATAATTTCTGAGATTAGCTTGGGGTCAAATTGCTGGACAACAACGACTAATTTTCTATCACTGTCTATACCTAGTATAACTTACACTAAAAATTTTTTGGTTGGCTCGGCGCCTATAGCTCAACCAGCTAAGGCGCCAGCCACGTACAGCTAAGGTGGCGGGTTCGAATCCCCAGCCCGGACCCGCCAAACAACAATAATGGCTGCAACCAAAAA